CACACAAAAAATGGAAATGCTCACTCTTCTATTTTTTTTTTTTTGAATGCCCACTCCAAGGGAGAGTCTTATCTAGGACTCATGACTTATGAGTTAAAAATGTGTTTTCTCTGAGAACTCTCATGCGAGACAATGTTCATATCAATCGTTGCTTTTGATAACAGCAATTTTTTTTTTTTAATATCTATGGCAGAGCTGCCAAAACAGACACCTCCAATTTCATCACGGACTCTTGATTAGCTCATTGAGAATTCTTAGCCTATGGTTTTGTATATTTTTGCGATATTGCATTTACGATCATTTTTTTTCATGATGCCTAAAAGCTTTTTTTTTCCCATAAGGACTCAAGTGGTGCCAGTGTGCCAAATTCTTGGCGATGTAACCTGCATAACAGACAGCTGTGATGTCATCAATATCCCCTCAGATTGCTGAGGAGAAATCAATTAAGTTCCCTGAATGACCGATCAAAGTATACATATAGCATTATGTGCAATTTCAAATCACGGTCTGGGGCTGCACGCACTGTCAAATAAAGACAAAACATTGTTGCTTGAAAAAGTGTAACACGGGAAAGCAAGAACGGCTGTCCCTTTTATTGCCGGCAACATTTTCAAATGCATTCTCACGGTCCCTGTGGGAACTGTAACAGCACTTGCGTGTTCCTCAGTGTGATGACCACACAATGCAAAAGGTGCAGTGTTATTTCGACTTTTGTTTCTCCCACTGTTCTGGCGTTAGGGTCTTCTGTTCGAACGCATGGATGTCTTTCAGCTCCTCCGCTAAGCAGGTGTTCACCATCCTAAAAATGCCACACCCTTTGATCATGTTATATGTCATATCAAAAGCATTGCCATTCTGGAATTTGATTTCAGTGTCCACTGCGTACCTGTGTCTCTGTAAGAGGGGCTTGCCCTCAAACTGGGAAGAGACCACAAGCACTTTGAAGCTGGCGGCACATCTGTTGGCGGACGTGTCCTCCACGTCCTACACAACACAAATGACGGAGCATACTAATATTGACTGCAAATGTTCCAAAGTGAACGAGTGTAAGACACCTACCACATATTCCGCCGCAAGCTCTGTTCTAAGTTTATCCCGGATGTGATCGGATGTTAAGGCCATGCCTGCAACAGCAGAAAACAGGTGATGGTTTATGTGTTTTCACCAAGACTACCTTGTGCATAAATGTGATAATCGAAGGCGTGTCTCGTAAATTAAACTGCAACCGAAAGTAACGTTAGTTTAAATCCAAATTTAAGGCTGCCATCGTCATATCAAACACAAAGTCACAACATTAAGAGGATCAAATGTATTCCGCACTACAACAAATCAAAAATACAGTACATACTTGAAACATTGTAGATCGACTTCCTGCTATTTTCAGTTTCACTAACAGTGGTCCTGCGAAAGATCCAATCACATTGCACGGTCATAAGCAGAGCCAATCAGATGCTCTGGAAAAATCCGGCGAGCGTTACTCGGCGCGAGTCCTTGAACGCCTGACTTGAAACATTCCTTTCTCTCGTGGAGAAAAAAAACATCCAACATTTTTCTTTTAGACATATGCCATATACAAAACAAACATAATATAAGATTACATATAGATTAGTTTATGTTCGCATCATAGTAAAGGAAGTTTTTTGTTAGGAACAGGCAATATTTCTTGACTACTAACACGTTTTTAAAAATCTTGAGGTGAGGCAGCGATATCTAAAAATGCTTTTCATTTATTTCACGTGTTTATTTGGGTAAAATCAAATGTATAAATGTATGTACTAAACGCTGGAAATGTTTTTTTTTTGCTTACGAGCTGAGGGGTTGATTTATTTCAGTTTCGAAACATGAGGTCCTTTGAAAGATCCAATCAAAGACGGGGATCGCATTAACAGCCAATCAAATCCTCTGTAAAATCGCGAGCGTGTGGTGGTCGATTTTCAAAGTAGCAAATTGTTCAGTGCCTGAATGAAAGTACTTCTTCTCAAATAAGTAAAAATATGTATTCTTTTCATTTGAGAGTCATAATACATATAAATATATCATTTTAGTTATGTATTTCAACTTTTTCCTTGACAACACAACAGCGAGGAAGATTTTTATGCCATTCAAAACAGGCAATAGACTTTAAAATTTGGACTCGTTGTGAAATGCCTAATTTTGGAATAGTTCCCAAAATGTCCAGCACGAGCAGAACGTTTTGAAGTCGGATGAGTTACATTTGCTTCAGGAATGTGGGATGGATCAGGTCCGCTACTCAAAGAGTTCATTTGGCAAGTCGCCAATGTGAAATGCATGAAGAAAAAAAAATGTCCTCACTGAGCTGAAGGTGAAAAGCGGACAGATGCAGGCACTTCTGGAGGATTTTCTTAAGGCAAAATGTGGAACGGTGGGAATCTTGGGCATGTCCGGCATTCACACAAACGTTTTCATCACCCTCCTGAGGATAAGCGGAACAACTATACAGGCAAACTCATGTTCTGACTCCAACCCTATTGAGAACCCGCTTCAAAGGAAAATCGCGATACAGTGAAACTCCTCTACAATGAAATCATGTTTGCAGCAAGAAATTTTTCACAACAGGGGGTTTTTCACTGTAGCAAATTTGATCTCAGATGTAAACGCGCGCACACACACACACACACACACACACACAAACGAACGCATGTGTACTCTATATTTTTATTCCAATAGTGCATAAGTATGAATGTACACTTATTTGACACTTCATATAGTCAGTGTAGAAAGAAAAAAGGGAAAGAAATTGCGAAATTTACGATCAGCATTCACTTTCACTGACATCAATTTCTTGGATAATGTCTTTTATTTTGCTTCCTCC